ATTTCTGTCTACAATCATTTACTTGTATTGCAATATATCAAATGTTTATTTTACTGTTTAATTAAATTTATTTCTGTCACATCATTTATGTGTATTGTAATATATCAAATGTTTATTTTACCATTAAATTAAATCTATTTCTGTCACACCATTTACTTGTATTATATTATATCAAATGTTTATTTTACCGTTCAATTAAATTTATTTCTGTCACACCATTTACTTGTATTGCAATATATCAAATGTTTATTTTACTGTTTAATTAAATTTATTTCTGTCACATCATTTACTTGTATTGCAATATATCAAATGTTTATTTTACTGTTTAATTAAATTTATTTCTGTCACATCATTTATGTGTATTGTAATATATCAAATGTTTATTTTACCATTAAATTAAATTTATTTCTGTCACACCATTTACTTGTATTACATTATATCAAATGTTTATTTTATTTTTTACAACATTGAACATAGAAATGATACAATAGGGTAAAAGGACAAATAGTTTCATAGTTTAATGTCTTACTATTTTTTATATGAAGTATTTCTAATTTTTTTTTTCCACTGTATTTATGTTGTATAGATGGCGCTTCAATCAGTTGTTTATTTTCCTGGTCGCCATTTTCAAGATTTGTGACATGTGTTTTGTATTGCGTAAATTGGCTTGCAGCAGAATACTAAATTTCCTTTAGGTGTGTATTTTCTAATAGGAAACAGTTGAGAAGGAAAAATATTCTGTAAACCGAAAACAATGTCTGTATTCCATCTCTACACTTGGTTATGGATCAACTAAATAAAATAAGAGTATATAATCAACATTGATTCTTCAATTCTAGGAACGTTATTATTGTTCAGCGCATAAAATATTTTTCCCTTAAAACTTTTTCATTACCAACTTAATTGACATTGTAATTTCCAAGTAGCTTGTGAAGAAACAAGTTTATAGACCACTGTGTACAATTTACTTATCTAACTAAAGCTTTTGTCGACAAGATCGTTGCCTACAATAATATCACACAAAATATGCTTTACTTTTGACATATGGACAGGCCACAAAATTGTTTCATTAATCAGTTTAAAAAAATATGCAAATGTCACGTAAATTACATTTAGCTTCATAACACTTTTTCCCTTCCAAGACATTAAAATAAATATATATTAACTTCCGATCAGAGAACGCTTCCAACTTAGTCAGACTGAAAATCAGCTTGGTAATGAGCATAGTTTGTTTCTTTTTTAATTTCGCGCAAAGCTACACTAGGACTATCTGCGCTAGCCGTCCCTAATTTAGCACTGTAAGACTACAGGGAAGGCAGCTTGGGCTACTTTTTTAACAACGAATAGTAGGATTGACCGTCACATTATAACGCCCCCACGGCTGAAAGGGCGAGTATGTTTGGTGTGACAGAGATTCGAACCCGCGACCCACAGACTGCGAGTGGAGTGCCTTAACCACCTGGCCATGTCTGGCCGTAATGAGCATCGCTAATCAGATATATTTCCTTACTTATGAAGACTAGAATGCATTATTTCATCAGCTGGATATCTTCACTGTTAATAAATATGTTTGTCCATAAACCAAATAATATCTCATGAGATATGTAATTTTTTGTGTGCATAACATGAAGGGGATATTATTGGATTTAATTTTTTGTTGTTTTTAATTGCCAACGTTCAGTTAATTGTTCTCTATTTATTGTAAATTCGCATTGAAAAGTACGTGATCAATAAATTTTCTATTTTCTTTTTAGGTTTCTTTCACAGTTTGTATCATTTGTTCAAGACTTTCCAACTTGAAATAGTTTCCACGTTAACGGGTAATTCTGGAGTCTATGATGAAGTGCTCGAAAGGAACGCCCACTTTTAGACCAGATTTTGATCATTTTTGCCAAGGGCGCCCGCAGGAAGGGGCAAGTTGGGTCACTTGACCCCACCCCCACCCTGGATTTTCAAAAAGAAAAAAATTACTAGATATGTAAAATTATTCTTCTATGTTATTGGAAAATCATAAAGTGTTTGTATTTCGATTTCATAATTTTTTTCAAACTTGAGTTACTTGACCCCCCCCCCTTTTTTTTTTCCTGCGGGCGCCCTTGATTTTTGTCTATTTCGCCTGAAAGCTTTCCTTTAGTTTCTTTTGTGAGAAGTCACGTCGAACGCATCTTCCCCGTCCAATTGGAACATTGTGACGGTTTTGGCATTGTGTTTCACAGTGCAAACGTTCAAGTGTACATGCATATATCAAACATAATTATTTATATAGTGCATGGTTGTTGTGGCGTTAAATTCCAAGTTCCCTTGTATTCATAAAATCAAAAAAAAAAATGGTAACATACCCTGCTCCTTCATGTATATAAATACTTATATTTTGTAATTAGTCTAAGGACCTTTGGTGGATGTCTATCTCAATTTGTTTCACTTCTGTATATTATGATATCTCTCGAAATGGCATGATAAATAAAGTGTTTATAAGTCAGTGTGGTGATTTATTGAATGTTATGTTACGTACATAAAATACTTTAAAATAATTAACTCGTGTTTTGATGTTGAACGTCACACGTAGAAATACTGAATACAAGTATGAAAACGGATATTTTAATGAACAATGCCATGTCATTCTACCAACCCGGTCCCCCGGTGGGGTTAATCTTCGGATTTACAACGCTAAAATCAAGGGTTCGATTCCTCTCGGTGGACACAGCAAATAGCCCGATGTGGTTTTGCTATAAGAAAACACACATACACACACTATCAACTCGAGCGACAAAAAAAAAGCTTTTTTTTGATCTTTGGGACATTCAGAAGTAAAATAAGCAGTTCATTAATTTTTGTGCAACATCCTAAAACGTACAAGACTGAATCAATAATTATATTTCTGTTTCTTAACGACCATCATCTTAATTTAACCAGGTGAAAACAATTGTAAATTATAGTTATTTTTCTAATAAAAAAATACTGAGCAACTTTCTGTACAAAATGTCTTCATTTTTAGAAGTAAACAGGGACTCGAAAAAGCAGCAGAAATAAATAAAACTGTTATACACAGTAGAGCTGTTTTTCTATGAAGAACAATTCTTATAATCCGATAAAATACTTAACTTGTAGTCGTACCTTACATATGTTTACTTTCTCTGCAATGGAGTATAAAAGAGGGCTCTTATGAAAGGAAATTGGTCGATATTCACTTGATTGACATCATTTCCGCTTTCCTATGTCCATTTCAAACTCTGAGATACCCAAGATTATTTTCTTTGCCGTAATCTCATGTAGTTCGAACCATGGGGGTTATCTTACTGGATGAAAGTTTTAAAGTATCACAGAATACCAGTAATTTTTAACCTATATATAATACTTTAGGCATATCATAGATTACATTACAAAGAACTCTTCACTATAAACTTGTAACACGCACAGTCGTTCAAAAGTATCAACTTATCAACAACGTTTTCAGCGCGTTTAAGGTTTTAAAGTTCTAAACCAAAAATGTCTTGATTCACGCCAGAAAAACTTGATTCTGTTGTGTGTGACAAGTATTTTAGCATTTCCTGTTAATCTGAACATAACAATCCTTGTTAAAGATGTCTTTAGACTCTAGAATAGGCATACTTATACTACCATCCGTTTGCTGCTTATCTTGCTGTATGCACAATTTGCTGACTATTTTTAAACACATTTCAATAAGAGGAAAGCACACGGAAAGACTCGTTGTGTGTTTGATTATGCTACACACTACTGAGCTCTCTCATAATTATTGGATTCAAGTCCTTGCAGATTTATTAAGCATTAGAAAGAATGTAAGGAAATCTTCCTTTAAAGATCTGTAGTTATTCTGTTGTGACAATGTTTTAAATGAAGTTGGATCTAAGCTGGAAATCGACGAAACTGTAACATTATGACAACTCAGCACACGGGAAAAAAATTTATATTTATCTTTCAACATAATTTAATAAAAGAAATCAGTAAACTATGGTTTTCATTAAGAAAATCCTGGTTTGAGTGTATTTGTGGGTTTTTGAACACGTAAAAAAAAAAAAACCTGCCACCACAGTATTTACTCAAGTTCGTGTTAATGAGTTTGGATCATAAAAGGAAATCTTAGCTCGAGTGTGTCTTAAATGTCTTTTGACTAGGTAAAAAGTCTTTGCTTCAGAAAAGCATATTGATGGGATTTCATCACGTAAAACTCCTCGCACAACAGCGGTTGTTGGGTTTTGGCCACACAATAAAGTCCTCACCAGGGGGCGTGTTGGTGAGACGACCGTAAATAAAGTCAGGGCTCACGTGTAATTTGTCCTTGATACAAGTACAATATTAAATTCAAATCAAATATCCTTGCCAATTTATCCTACATTTAATCTACCTTTACCATTGTGTTTCTGTCAAGATTAACAACAATGGATCTCCTTCATCTCTCTTGAGACTTGTCCACTAGCTCATATGAGACTGGCGGTAGAAAACAAATAAAGACAAACGAAAATGTACAAGTTTAGTTATTTGTTCTGAGCTCTACTAGCCAACTGGCCAACCAGACCTGAAGTAAACATCTTCCTGTGAAATAACCAAAATAACCAATCACTTTAAGTGTAGACGCTTACTTCCTCCAGCACTGATAATACAGACCGTTGTCGATTCCTTGTTTTCCTTTGTTTTCAAGAGTCTTCCTGTTGCGAAGGGTAATTTGTTCTCGTACAACTGTATTAATTTTTTTAAGCTTGTTACATGACAGGATTTTGATGAATTATATTTAAGTTTTTCATAACATGTACAATTTTATCACAATTTATTTGCATGTTTTAGATGTTTCGTTTTTCTTCACTTACTTGTAAAGTTACCAAATCTGGCAACTAAGCCTCACTTGGATAGTGTTAGTAATATCTTAGTTCTTTCAGATTGGCCTTACAACCACGTCACTAGGTTAAGGTCATATACTTTACCATATCTTCATCTTCAAATATATTTGTACAAGTATTAGAAAAAAAAATATTCCTAAATCAAAAAGCTATGTAGGGCTAACTACTGAACTTGAAAAAAACGAACCAAACAAGATAGGGATTGAAGTGAACATATCATTTGATCACATGGCAGACTAAGTTGTCTCAACTTTACATGAAGAATATAATCCTTACATTACTTCCTCATTTTTGTCTATCGAAAGCTTGGTGTTTGAATAGAATCCCAACTTTCATCATTATATCTTTCCTTTAGTTAACTTTAGAATACTATCTTTACGACTATTTTACAATAGAGTAACATTTTACAATTGGAAATTCCAATTCTATTTGTTTCGCCAGTGAGGAAGCCAGTAACGTAGAGATTGTATTTTTCATGTAAGGTTGAAACAGCTTGATCTGCTATATCATCATTAGCCGGATCAAGTGATATGCAAGATCACGTAAATAAAACAAAAAATTAGTTTTTCATATATCTTTTTCGAGTTTTCTTTCAGCAAAATGAAAATTTAAGTACACCAATAGTTGTTCTAATAAAAATTGAATAGTACTTTGAAAAACGTTATGTACCTTTTCTTAATTATTCTATGGCACAACAGTAAATGTACGTTATTAAATCAAATTCATCAATACATTGACGAATTCACAGTACGCCCAAAATCTTTAAGACATTGTAAGGTAAAATAATATTTAAAAAAACAGTAATAATACCTAAGCATAATAGCGCACAAGTAATAAGATAATTAACAAAACATAAATTCTTACTCATTTGTATTTTATTATGCTGATTTGTTATTACTGTTTTTGTGAATTTACACAAAGTACTTGTCCTTCTTGAAATAATATTAACTTATACTTTATTCTATAACTAGCTGGAGTACCCGTCCCCTGGACTGAAGTTATGTAAATTCGTTATTAATGAAAGGTTATCTTAGGACATGAAAAGTTACATAGCGTTACATGTATATTTACTACTTTGTCTCAAAATAAAATTTTTTTCTATATTTTATAGTCGCACAAGGATAGAAAACTCATCTTTAATACAGCACAAGTTCTTGATATTGAAGGGAAGAAATTTCAAGGTTGCAAATTGAAGTTTTTTTTCAAACGTATAGTGAGTGTGTAACAGAAAGTTTACGAGGTAAGCAGGGCGCAAAACTCGATCGCACTGTGTCTAGTAACGATACACGGATTGGAATGTTTAGTATCATCGCGGCCACTACGTCTGTAGAGCCTTGTAAAGGTAGATATATCATCGCGGCCACTACGTCTGTAGAGCCTTGTAAAGGTAGATACTTCATGAAAACTATCTAATTTGTTCTAAAAATTAAAAATAAAAGTATCTCTTACTTTTCAACCTCGGTTTCAAAAACACTTTTATAGCTACTTAATAACTTTATTAAGTTTCTTTCGGAACATAACCAAAATATTTTTACTTGGTGTTTTTAAAGGGTGATACGTTTATTACACTGGCTTTAAATATTTCTGGTTGAACACGTAGATAGAAATTGTTGCTTACAAAACTTTGTTGTATTTTAACGAAAGTTCCTTTCTAACACTAAAGAAAAGAAACTTTCCAAATAAATATAACTATAATAATGGGTTTATTATGTGTATATTAGCATAGTATAGAACTTTCAAATTTCAGGAAAGTCAAACAGAAATGAAGAAGTCGATACGTTAAACAGTTGTTTAAGATTAATAGCTTGTTTATTTTTATTAACCGAAATTATTTAAACAGTGAGTCCTTTACAAACTGTTGGGATATTTGATATTTGAATTATTTATATTATAACCCTTTTATTTAACGATATCTTTAAAGAAAAAGGTTAGTCAACTGCACTATTTTTTGGTTATTGAAATCTTTATATCTTAGATGGGTCCATAAATTAACTGAACTACTTACAGTTTAACACCATGTTAAGTCAGGAGAAGTTTAGATACATACAAACTTTCTTAAATATATGTCCATCACTTAACTAAACTACTTACAGTTTAACACCATGTTAAGTCAAGAGAAGTTTAGATACATACGAACCTTCTTCAATATATGTCCATCAGTT